AGAGCGACAGCTACAGACCTGTCATCGACGCTGTTCACGAACAGTCCCGTCTGCTGCCACCTGAGAAGGCGAACTCTGAGGACGTAAGTCCAGACAGACGCATAAAACACAGCTTCTTTTTGGATCTCAAACTAATTGTCACTAATACTGATGAACCCAAAGATCCAGAACCGACTGGCCGGCATTGAGGAGCGGTACAAGGAGGTGGTGGAACTCACGCGGCTCAGGAAGCAAGCGCTGCAGGATGCTCTCGCACTCTACAAGATGCTGAGTGAAGCCAACGCCTGTGAGGTTTGGATTGATGAGAAGGAGCAGTGGCTCAACAGCATGGAGATTCCAGAGAAGCTGGAGGACCTGGAGGTGGTGCAGCACAGGTGAGGACTACAACCGTCACCGACGTTCCTTGGTGTGACTGAGGTTTAAAATGTGGAAATGTCCGTATCCAGGTTTGAGAGTCTGGAACCAGAGATGAACAGTCAGGCCTCACGGGTTGCTGTGGTGAACCAGGTTGCCAGGCAACTGATCCACAGTGGACATCCCAGTGAGAAAGAGATCAAAGCACAGCAGGACAAACTCAACACCAGGTAATCCTTCCAGGATGATCACATCTTAAACTGGGATTATCAGCCCTTTTATCGTCCTCAGGTGATTTAGGTAGACTTCAGTGGTGAATCAGGTCTGACTTTATATGATATGTAATGTAGAGAAACTTTAAGACAATTTAAAACAATAAAACATGAACAGGTACAGACCTTATCTTTGGATTTCCAAAGCCCACGGTCATTTACATTAATGTCAAAATGTACTTACTTAAAGACAGACTTTTTCAATGCAAAGTTGAAGAGCCAGTGTCCTCGTCAGCTGACTTTGCTGTAATGGCGTTACTATCTGTTCAGATGGAGTCAGTTCAGAGACCTAGTGGACCAAAAGAAGGACAATCTAAACTCAGCTCTGGGAATCCAGAACTATCACCTGGAGTGTAACGAGACCAAATCCTGGATTAAAGAAAAGACCAAGGTAGGTGGTCTCTTCACTCTCTGATTTTCCTATTCTTTGTCATTATCCTCTTTCTCCTCCACATCTTCTCTTACTTCTTTCAATGCTATTTTTCCAGGTAATTGAGTCAACCCAAGAGCTTGGTAATGACCTGGCTGGCGTCATGGCTCTGCAGAGGAAACTGACTGGGATGGAGCGCGATCTTGCAGCTATTGAGGACAAGCTGGACGATCTGGGGAAGGAGGCTAACCGTTTAGCTTCTGAACACCCGGATCAGTCTGATGCCATCAAAGGGCGTGTGACTGAAATCAGTGGTGTCTGGGGTGAGATGAAGGTAGGAGGGGTTTCCACTCGAAATGACTGAAATGAAAATGTCTTCCGACCAGAGACACAAGTGTAATTCTGTTTACAGGACACAATGAAGAATAGAGAGGAGTCACTGGGTGAGGCCAGCAAACTGCAGCAGTTCCTACGAGACCTGGATGACTTCCAGTCATGGCTGTCACGTACACAGACCGTCATTGCCTCTGAGGACATGCCCAACACAATGGCGGAGGCTGAGAAACTTCTGGCGCAGCACGAGGGCATCAAGAATGAGATTCGTAACTACGAAGAGGACTACCAGAAGATGAGGGACATGGGCGAGATGGTAACCCAGGGCCAGACGGATGCCCAGTACATGTTCCTGCGTCAGCGGCTGCAAGCGCTGGACACCGGCTGGAATGAGCTGCACAAGATGTGGGAGAATCGCCAGAACCTTCTGTCTCAGTCACACGCCTACCAGCTGTTCCTGAGGGACACAAAGCAAGCTGAGGCTTTTCTCAACAACCAGGTGAAGACCTCCACCCTCCACAACATCCACGTAAAACTTGGACTGTTGCGATTGTAATTGACGATTGTGTGTGTATGTGTAGTTCATTTTTGTACCACATGGGGCAAAGAAGTGACCTTTTCTGAGTCAACAGCACTTTGACTTTGACTAGCAGCATCTAAAACTGACTTCATACTGATGTTGATGACGTTTGACATCATCGTCCATCTCTCCGCAGGAGTACGTCTTGGCCCACACTGAGATGCCCACCACTCTGGAGGGAGCTGAGGCTGCCATCAAGAAGCAGGAGGACTTCATGACAACCATGGACGCCAACGAAGAGAAGATCAGTGGCGTTATGGATGCCGGACGTCGACTGGTGGCTGACGGTAACATTAATGCAGACCGCATCCAGGAGAAGGTGGATTCCATCGACCAAAGGTGTGGTTTTTATGGTTTTTAAGATACTTGTGTTGATATTCCTATGAGACTGTACACTCTGAAGATGCAGATCTTTACCTTACTTATAATCACTTTACTTGAAATGAAGTAGCGGTTTTTATATGAAAGAAATCTTTTTCCAAAGAATGTTACATTAAATTATGACGTGATTTTATTGATAATATCAAGGAAAAAAAACATTCTTAAATATTCATATGTTGGTTCCACAGACACAAGAAGAACAGAGCAGCTGCCTGTGAGCTCCTGATGAGGCTGAAGGACAACAGAGACCTGCAGAAGTTCCTTCAGGATTGTCAGGAGGTAAAATCCAGACTCTTATATTTTCCCTCAGGACTATGGCTGTAGTTGTGGAGTGAAGCTAATTTTCAGATTCTGTCTCCAGCTGTCATTGTGGATCAACGAGAAGATGCTGACAGCCCAGGACATGTCCTACGACGAGGCCAGAAACCTTCACAGCAAGTGGCTGAAGCACCAGGCCTTCATGGCTGAGCTGCAGTCCAACAAGGAGTGGATGGACAAGATCAACAAAGTAAGAGTTGAATCAGACGTTCTGAGCTAGTAAGAAAAGTAAATATTTAACATAAAATGTCAATAACTGTTATAAATATCCAACTTTCAGGACGGGCAGACGCTTATGGCAGAGAAACCTGACACAGAATCCATGGTCAAAGAGAAGCTGGCATCCCTGAAGACCATGTGGGACGACTTGGAGTCCACCACGCAAACCAAGGCCAAATGTCTGTTTGACGCTAACAAGGCGGAGCTCTTCACGCAAAGCTGCGCCGACCTGGACAAGTGGCTGGGCAACCTAGAGCCGCAGCTCCACTCCGATGACTATGGCAAAGACCTGACCTCCGTCAACATTCTGCTGAAGAAGCAGCAGGTGAGGAGTTAAAGACAAGGCAGAGGTCTTGACGATAGTTAGCCTGCCGATGTCCTAGGCTCATCCTCTGCTCCTTCTTCTTCCACAGATGCTGGAGAACCAGGTAGAGGTTCGTCAGAAGGAAGTAGGGGAGCTCCAGCGTCAGTCGCAGGCACTCAGTCAGGAGGGAAAAGGCTCCGAGGAAGTGGACGGACAGAGGATCATTGTGGAGACCAAGTTCAACTCCCTGCAGGCACCGCTGCAGAAGAGAAGAGAGAACCTGATGGCCTCCAGGGAAATCCACCAGTTCAACAGGGACGTGGAGGACGAGATTGTGAGTACAGACGGGAGACGTGACGAAAAAGACTTGGGACTAGAGACACAAACTGATGAGCGATAAGATATGAAAGACATGTAGGAGGACTAGAATACAAGTACACATGAGGGAAACTGACATGAGAGACAAACACAAACAGTGGTGACGTATTAAATGCTGATCCAAGCACATTTTTTCTGCACGTACAAACAGCTGTGGGTGGAGGAGAGGATGCCTCTGGCCATGTCCACCGACCATGGACACAACCTTCAGACTGTTCAGCTGCTCATTAAGAAGAACCAGGTTTGTTCCCAATGAATAGTAAAATCAAACGTTACACTTTGCATCATTTACTCTTCAGTAAATTTTTATGTACCACCACCCCTCCACTCTCCTCCCCCCAGACCCTGCAGAAGGAGATCCAAGGTCACCAGCCCCGTTACGACGACATCTTTGAACGCAGTCATCACGTCCTGAAGAAGGACGGCCCCATGGCTGAGCAGATCGGTCAGCGTCTCTCTGACTTCAGGTCTTTGTGGGATCAAATCAAGAAGGAGACAGAGAAACGCCACGAGCGCTTGAACCAGGCCCACCAGGCCCAGCAGTACTTCTTTGATGCTGCAGAGGTGGAGGCCTGGATGAGTGAACAGGAGCTGTACATGATGTCGGAGGAGAAGGCCAAGGTGAGCCCAGAAAAGACCTGGAAACTGCTGTTATTTATACAGTTCATAGAAACATGTACTGGGTTTAATACAATTTTATTAATGTGTTGCTGCCTGTGTGTGTGTGTTTCAGGACGAGCAGAGTTCAGTTTCCATGTTGAAGAAACATCAGATCCTAGAACAGGCTGTAGAAGACTACGCTGACACCGTCCACCAACTGTCCATCACCAGCAGAGGACTGGTGTCTGACGGACATCCAGAAAGGTCAGTGAGGACTCAGTTTTGGACTGATAAAGAAACTCCTGGATGAGACGCACAGAAACCTGAAACGAGTCCAGTCCAGTTCTCATGAACTGTGACAGACCTGTTCTCATCATCTTCCCTCCTCCTTTCACTCTTTCTGCTGCAGCGAGCGAATCAGCATGCGTCAATCTCAAGTGGACAAACTCTATGCCGGTCTGAAGGACCTGTCCGAGGAACGCCGTGGGAAACTGGACGAGCGCTTCCGCCTTTTCCAGCTCAACAGAGAAGTGGACGATCTGGAGCAGTGGATTGCAGAGAGGGAGGTGGTTGCTGGGTCACACGAACTTGGCCAGGACTACGAGCATGTGACCGTGAGTGTGAACACTGTCGTCTCCTCATGACTTCAATCCATCAGTTTGAATCTTTGAAGAACAGTCAAAAAAATCTAAAAAGAAAACATTTAAATTTAGCTTTTTTAGACTTGATATAATACTGACCACCACAACAATGAGAGAAGATCTGGTTCTGATGTTTCTAACAAATTTCTTAATTTATAATTAATTAATTTCTTAATTTATACACACTTTTTCAAGTTTTTTCACGTTTATTATTATTTATTATTTATTATTATTTTACTGTAAAGTCACTTTTTATATTTATGTCTTTAAACATGTTTTTCCTCTTCAGATGCTGCAGGAACGCTTCCGAGAATTCGCCCGTGACACCGGAAACATCGGTCAGGAGCGCGTGGACGCCGTTAACCGATTGGCAGACGAGCTGATCAACGGCGGCCACACTGATGCCGCGACCATCGCCGAGTGGAAGGACGGTCTGAACGAAGCCTGGGCCGACCTGCTGGAACTGATTGACACACGCACCCAGATCCTCGCAGCTTCCTACGAGCTCCACAAGTTCTACCACGATGCCAAAGAGATTCTGAACCGCATCCTGGACAAACACAAGAAGCTTCCAGATGAACTGGGCCGTGACCAGAACACAGTGGAGACGCTGCAGAGGATGCACTCAGCCTTTGAAAACGACATCCAGGCTCTGGGAACCCAGGTACAGAAACCATTACGTAAACACACACACACACGACATGTTTTTAAAAGATGGAAAAACAGCAAATTATTTTAGAGTCAGAAATGAATTCTGCTGACTCATCGTTGTCTTGCTGCTCCTCAGGTTCGACAACTGCAGGAAGATGCTGTGCGTCTGCAGTCAGCGTACGCCGGGGACAAAGCTGATGACATTCAGAAGAGAGAAGGAGAGGTGAGTCTAATGTTGGTTCTAGTCTGAGTCAAGAATGACTGGTTTGAAAATCTGAAAGCAGAATGTTGCTGCTGCTGCTGTTGCTGCTGCAGAAAAACAGGCAGAGAAAATCAGTGACGTCAGAGTGAAGAAAATGCTGTAAATTAGAGTTTTTTTTTAATTGTAAATTTATAATGATAAACAAAATAAATTAGAGTTTTTTTTAAATTGTAAATTTATAATGATAAACAAAATAGCAGCCTCACTTTTAGATGAGCTGAGGTCTAACAGGGCATGGTCAAAATAAAATGGATGTTTGTTTGTGGACCAATATTATTATATTATTTGAAAATAAACCATGTCAACTGATATACAGCTGTGATTTTAAAATAATGGACAGAAAGCTTGGTGCAGATTATAAAAATACATTAACAACCTTTAAAAAAAATAAGAAGTTTGAAAAGAGGCATGTTCTTTACTGGGTCACATCCCTCTTAAAAAATGACACTGTTTTGGGAATGGAGGATGCTAATTTTAGCAGTAGTTTGCTAGTAGAATTAAGCTGTGTCTGATGACCCTCCATATTTTCCCTAGGTACTTCTAATAGGAGACAGGCTTTTTTTTCTTTGCAGAATAAGTGGTTAAATTAGTATTGTCATGACTATGCAGTATGTGAAAGTTAGCAAACATCGCATTAAAGCAGATCCTTTGGCGTTGTTGACAACAGTCAGAATGATCTCTTTGACATTTTTGGCATTTTGAAACACAATGTTAGTAATGACGATGTTCATTACAGTAGTATTGTGACTTTTAATAATATATTACTGCAGAGAAAAAAGACCATTCTTTGGGGATTTAATATTAATTTCTTTATTAACATGGTCACGATGCGGCATGTCCAGTTAAGAACAGAAATGTTATTCCTTATTTTTTAACTTTTGTTCCTCTTCAGTCTAAACCTTTAGAAATAAGGATATGACAGTTTCAGGTTTTCTACCTAGATATTCATATGGTCTTTGTTTGTAGCTCAGTCTGTTTGACTGCTGACCAGCGCTGACACAGACCTCAAACATCTGTCAATCCATTTCTGTTCATAAACAATTAAGAGTGAACATTCTGGTGTGGGAGTGGGCCCAGAACGGTTTGAATTTATATTGTATGAAATGTAATCTGGATTATTATTCCAGAACAGTTGATTCAAAAGCTGTTTTTGAGCTATTTTTTTATTTATTTTAGCTTTATCTTAACAAACCATTACCATTTATCCCACACTAAAACTGCTGTCATTTACTGTCGACATCTCACTCACACGACATCAAATCTGTGCATCACTTTGATCCTCTGATGTGTGGTAGACCAATACTTTTGGAATAAAGTCCTGCATGGCAAAAGAAGAGAATATGAGATTTAAATATGCTGTGGATTCTTGGCTGAACATTTGACACTCGGGCTAGTTTAAAGTTTATAGATAGCATTTTAGCCAACATAGTTTTAAGGACATTTTTTCATCCTTTTTATTCTACTGATCCTTTTGTTGACTTAAGTTATCATATAGTAGATGATATGATACAGATGACAAACAAACAGTACTGTGCTGAAGTTTTAGGCTGGTGTATATATTTACTTTTTGTCCTTTTGTCAGTATTTAAAGTATTTAAAGCAAATGCAGAAACAAATAGCTCTCTGGACTTTTAAAACAAAAAACAAAACCATTTTGGTTGTAGACTGTGGGCAGGGCCTGACAGCAGATGGTCACACTGTCAGGCTACTGGACTTCTTTCCAAGTCATGGGGAGAGATACTCCCCTGTTACAGCTTCTATGGAAAAAGCCCAAAAAAATTCACATTTTAATTTATATTCATACTTTAATAAAATAACAATGAGTGATGTTAAGAACTAGCTCCCATTTTTTTAGTTACTTTAAATACTTGAAAAAGGAAAAGGTTAACAAAGACTGTCAGATGTATACTCTCCTCTAAAACCTGTGCACAGTACTAAATGTATATAAGAAGCAGATGATACCATGACAGATATAGATATAAGCACTACTGTAAATGTACCACCTCTATGCTGTAGAGGTGTCAGTGTGAGTGTGTCTTTTTGACCATGTCCTGTTCGTCCATTTCCTCCTCTGTCCACAGAAGAGAAAGACAGAGGTGAGACTCTTTCACTACGGCTTTGCATCGCTCTTCATTTTGGCTGCAGATTTTGTGTTTAAACCTGGACTAAAATGTCCATTAACTCGACTGACATTTTAGTCTCTTTTTCATGCAGCTCAGTTATTAAGGCATAAGTTCATTTAGTAAAAAAAAAAAAGTCTCAGACCTGCTGGTTTGCAAAAACTTGTGGTGTTTTTCAGATGAAAAACCGTGCAACTCTTTATGCTCCACCTTTCCGGGCTAATAAGAAGCATAAATGAAACACTGCTGGTGGTTTGCAACCACGGGGTTGGTCTGATGAGTTGAGGTCTATAGTGTTTGATGTCTCTATACTGTACCTAAGTGTTTTTGTTTATGTTTAAGCTGAAACGCGTAGAGCATTGCTTTGAATCAGTTCAACATCAACTGAATTATCTGTCAGAGAGAAAGTTCTGTCTCAGTGTCCGTCTTGGTCTGGAAACAACTGAACAGTAAGACTTCTGACCGAAACTGTCCACACAGGGGCAGCAAAGGTTAGAAAACAGTCTGTGTGTGACCAGCAGGTGGGGACATGATTAAAACAAAAGTTCACCACAACTTTAAAGTTCAAGTTATTATTTTGATTTATGTTTATAAAAAATGGAGAAGTAAAAGAAATCAGCCACAAAGGCCAGTAAATGTTTGGTTACTGTTGTGAAAACTTTGTCATATCCCCCTGCTGGTGAAAAGGTGACGGCATTACTGCATTTGCACATGTGACTTTTTGTTTCTGTTCATGAAGTTCGTTTAGTCACTTGTTTATTTCCCCTTTGCTTTCTTGCCCACACACATGTGCGCCAACTCATAAGCACACATACTCTTCATAAATAAGTTTAAGTTACTATAAAATAAATAAGTTCATAAATAAGTTTAAGTTACTATAAAAATATTTAATGTTTACCTAGTTTTTTTGAAAGAGGAAGCATTAGGAAGCATTGATTTGACTGCTCAACTGGCTCATCCACTGACGATCAATTTACCGATTGATTGATCAGTCCTGACCAATTTGTATATCTCACTTCTGCCCTCAGGTCTTGGACGCCTGGAAGAAGCTCCTTGAGGCTGTGGAAGGTCGACGCGTGAAGCTGCTTGACACTGGAGACAAGTTCCGCTTCTTCAGTCTGGTCCGAGACCTGATGCTGTGGATGGAAGATGTGATCCGTCTTATCGAGGCTCAGGAGAAACCCAGGTGGGATTATTCACTAATGCTAAATCAGATTGATCATTTAGACTAGAATAATTAACAACCTGAAACATCTCCAGTCCAAGTGGGACTCAGAGTTTATGTTTTATTTTCACTGCTCTGCTGTAATACATCTTTAAAAATGTTTCATTATTATACAGTTCAAAGCTTTTCTTTTGTTGTTGGCTGAAAGAATGAGAACGTCCTCACAGCAGTCATCAGATATTTATAGTTTTCTCAGTGATGTTTCTTCCATCTAAATTTTTCAGATTATCTGAAGTGATCTGATTGTATGTTTCCTGCAGAGATGTGTCATCTGTGGAACTTCTCATGAACAACCACCAGGGGATTAAAGCAGAGATTGACGCTCGGAACGACAGCTTCAGCACCTGCATTGAGCTCGGGAAAACACTGCTGTCTAGGAAGCACTACGCTGCTGACGAGGTGAACAGAATTTGTTTTTCCCTTAACCCTCCTTTCTTAAATGTTTTATTAGTAGAGATATTCAAAAACCTTAGATCTTGTTATTCCCTTTTTCTTCATGTGTAATTTAAAAGTACGGTGTCAGGTTTGTTAGAAACTCATCTCTAGATTTCAGATAAACTTTTTCATTTATGTTCTTAAAGTCAGTGTTTCCCAAACTCCCAAACTTTTGTGCTTTACATTTCTATGGTTGAAAATGAAATGGATGACAATTTATTTCCTTTTTAACTCAATTTTTATCACAGATTAAAGAAAAGTTGCTACAGTTGACGGACAAGAGGAAAGAGATGATTGACAAGTGGGAGGACAGATGGGAGTGGCTTAGACTGGGTAAGACGCTGACTTTTTGCAGGCCACACCCTCTCACTTCCTCTAAGCTGAACGTGTATCTGTGTGTGTGTGTGTGTTCCAACAGTCCTGGAGGTGCATCAGTTCTCAAGGGATGCAGGTGTGGCCGAGTCATGGTTGCTGGGTCAGGAACCGTACCTGTCCAGCAGAGAGATCGGTCAGAATGTAGATGAGGTGGAGAAGCTCATCAAACGCCATGAAGCTTTTGAAAAATCTGCTGCCACCTGGGAGGAACGCTTCTCTGCACTGGAGCGGCTGACCACGGTCTGATTCTGTCATTATCGTAAGCTGCCGGAGCAAAGTTTTATCTATTTTTTTAATGTTTGGGTTTGTTTTTTCTTTTGCAGATGGAATTACTGGAAGTGAGAAAAAGGCAAGAGGAAGAAGAGAAGAACAGACAGGCCCTGTCCGCTGAGGCTCTGCCTGCTGACGCTGCTGCACAGCAGAGGTGTGTGTGTGTTAGTGTGTGTCAAACTGCTTTAGACTGCTTGATTTATTTCACAGTTGCGAAAAAGCTTTAGCTGGTCTTGAGCAAAGCCGATATGGAAAATCACATAGCCATATATAGAGAGAAACCACGTCACGGTCACTTTCAGTTCCCCATCTACATGTTTTGACCCGTGGGAAGAACCTTAGAAACCGTACACACAGAAGGGAAACATGCAAACTAGTGACCTTCTTACCATAAGGCAGGAGCAATATCCACAGTGACCTGCTGAGGTTCAAATAGTTTAGTTTGGTTTTATGAAAGGAAATAAACCAAAGACAGATTAATCCTGGTTTACACGAAAATAAAATGACACCGGCCGTTTTGAATTTAAATATGTTTCTTTTCTATTGAAGCTGTGAGTTTTTAATTTTGTAAATAATCAAGTTTGAAACACGGGTCAACCAGACGTTTTCACAGCGTGTGATGCCGACAGTTAAAATCTGAGGTAAAATAAAACAAATTATTATTATTATTAATTGATTAGTGGATTGTCTAGGCACGTTCAAACCCTAACCTCTGACCTTGTTATCCACAGATAAAACTACGTTGATGTTCTTCAGTGTTTCACTCCAACATCTTAGCAGTAATAAATCTCTTTGTTTTTGTATATTCAGGGATGGTGGTCCAGAGACGGGTCTTCAGACTGAACAGGAGTCAACTCGGGTTAGTTTCCGCTCCCCAGCATACCAGAGTTTTAGCAGCAGTCTGCAGAACCGCAAAACCAACACAAGCTAATACACACACTGACAACATGTCAGTGACACACACACACACACATCGTTAACTTGAAAAGAGATACAAATTACCTGACCACTGCAACCCATTACTGAAACATACAAACACACACACACACACACACACACACACACCGATATGTAGTCTTTGACCTTTCACCTCCTGCCTCTCTAGGATTAACATGTGTATTTCCCTTTCCTTCCTATGATTAACTTTAACTTAGTTTTCCATGTGTTTAAATGAGGTCACGTATGTTCACTCGTGTCTCCTGTTTCACTGGTTGATTTTAACTTTAATTCTTCAAACAAAAGTTAGGACTTCTTCATTATTACTATTTATATGTTTTTTTCGTTCAGTTTTATTTAATATGTTCACACTCGTGTGGTGGATTTTGGGTATAACATGTTTATGAAACACAAACTATATCACCTGATAGGAAAAAAAAAACTGTTTTCATCCACCAGACTTTAATCTTAATCATCATCCATGATGTTTATGAGGAGACATTTTACAAATTGTACCTTTTAAAATTAAAACGTCACTTGTTGCTTTTTGTTCTGAAACCCAAAAATATTTAAATTTCTGAAACATTATATTTCCGGTTAAATAAAATTTGATGACATACAAACACATAAATGCACATACACACACAGCTACAGTACAACCATATAAACGCACACACACACCCACTTTTTTCTTTTTATTTCTGTATTCTCGTTTGTTTCTGTTTTCTTTACTCCTTCTGGTTTTTCCCTCTTTCTTTCTCTCCCCGTAGCTACTTTACTTTCAGCTTCTCATCTTTGTGATTGTTTATCTTATTTTTTACCAACTGAACAGTTGACGAAAGTCAACAAGACAGGACTTCAACAAAGTTTCAAATTTATTGAAAGATAATGTATTGAGAGTCTTTTTTATATAAATTATTGTATCATCAGCATATTGACACACCCTTAAAAACATGAATCACAAACAGTAAATCATAATTAATATTGATAGAGAGTAAATAAAGTTATTGATTTAGTTTTATGATATTCAGAAAAAATAGTTCTTCAATATTTAGCTCCTTTCTTTCCTCCCTGTCAAACAGTAGTTTCAGTTGATCATTAATTTTTCACATTCTTCATCCACATGTTATTGTCAAATCGTGTGTTTGTCTGTGTGTGTTGTTTGTGTGTTACATTGTCATCACCCTCTGTTTATGATTTTTTTCACTAACAAATGTCCCATTATAATAAACTCTGTCGAACTTGTTACCGCTTCATTTGTTCATTAACATGTTTAGTTTTTAATTCATTCACGTGACCACCGGATGTTTTGTTCTTTTGTTGTTTACGTGTTGCATGCTGACATCATCAGTAGTTTTTCCATTCATTTTTACCCTTGTTTTCTTCTTCTGTTAGTATATTTTTGTGCAACTTTTTATTTTATTTTAAAGGTATAGAACGTAATATTATTATTATTAATAGCATGGTTATAAATAACAAAAGGTTACATTTTGCAAGCATCTGAAATACATTAAATAAATTAATAACAAATATTTATTCTTCAACTTAAATAATATTATTAAGACTAGCATTGATTACCAAGTTTTGTCAGTCAGCGTTAGAATAAAAAAACACATTAAGAGTTTGTGTTTGTTGTATTTTCTATACATTTTTTAATTTAAATTTAAAAATCAGATCATGATAAATGACCTGAAACCTGTGAAACTGAGGCAGGGAGTTCAAAGGTCAAAATTGTAGCCATCTCAGCCAGATACTCTGGATTCAGTTCATTCAAGATTCATCAATCCAAACATTTTTTTTATAAACATTTTTTCAGTTTTCCATCTGTGTGTCTAGCGTCCAGATTGTAGAGCTGGTGTGCTGTTTTTTTCCCTCTGGGTCTCTCATACAGTACCGTGATTTTCTGGAGTAAATAGTTTTTTAGGGTTAAGCCCAGGTCAAGAGTCCAGGATAGGTGTAGGTCTTCTAGGCATTGATTTTCCACGACTCGGTCCAGGTCCCTTAGGTCTTCAGTCAATGTTTCCAGGAGTAGGCTTTAGGTCTCCTAGGTCTTCAGTTTGGAGGACTCAGTCCAGGTCTTTCAGGTCATCTGGTAAACGTTCCAGGACTAAGGTCTGAGGACTGAGTTGAGCAACCCCCCCCCCCCAACTGGTCTCCACCTTGAAGATTTCAGTACGATGGTAAAACATCTGCGTGCAACTTATTGGTTTTTGCTGTGGAAGATTAAAATCTCTGGCCCATTTGGCTTCTCCTTACAGTAATGACACAGTGATGATGTCAAACAACTTCCTTCTCAGTTGCTTGACTTTTACTTCCTCTTCCTGGTTCTACTTGTTCTTTTTCGTTTTCTTCTGCTGTGGTTGTTTTTGTGCACGATCAGAGTTTGGGCTTTTTAACAAACGCAGTCAGTGGATGTGTCGCTACGATCAACGCTTAGCTCTTTCTGCAATAACTTCCCCTAATGGCCTACTAAAAATAGGTGTTTGATTAAATGTGCCTGGATTGATCAAGTTCTCAAAATCTTTTGAGCTTTAGTTACGAATAAAATGTGATTTTTGGCAAGTTGTTTTGCTTCTTCTTGTTAACATAAAAAAATGAATTTTAGCCACTTAAAAAATACATACCAGCCTTTTTAAATGTTACATTAGGATTCTCAACTTCATGTTTTTGTATCGTTTTTTTTTTGTGTCGTCTTTGTCCGTTTTATTTGTGTGTGAGAAGCTCTGCTCCTTTGCATGCTGAAGCTCCGAAGCATTACTGATTATTGAATATTGATTATACGTGTCATTTCCTGTTCTGACGATGCCACTTTTTCCGCAGGCGGAAGGAGATAAAGCTGTGAATGGGACGTCGCAGCCAAGCCCCTCTGGGTCTCCCTCTGCATCCCGAAAGGGTAAAGTGAGTCAGGCGGCAACGCTTCCTGTCAAAAGTGCAGAAGCTCCAGCGTCTCAACTCGAGGGCATCCTGCAGCGCAAGCATGAGTGGGAAGGTCATAACAAGAAGGCTTCAAGCAGGTGGGTGGTTATTCTTAATTATTCCACACTTCAACATTCCTCATATTCAGTTGTTGTTTTGATGATGGCGCCCCCAAGTGGCAAACAGTGATGCCAGCTCTGTGATCCTACAGGTCCTGGAACAGTGTGTACTGTGTGATCAATCAGCATGAACTGGGATTCTACAAAGACCAGAAAAGTGCAGCACAGGGAATTCCTTTCCATGGAGAGATTCCAGTCAGCCTTAAAAATGCCACCTGCCAGGTGGCGCTGGAGTACAAGAAGAAGAAACACGTCTTCAAACTCAAGTGAGTCAAAGAGATTGTTGATGTCAGACTGATGATGTCATTATTATTTTATGCTAATTTTTTAAAGGTTCCATGAGAAACACACCTGTGGTCTGAGTACTACACATTTGTTTTGTGTCTTGTTCAAAGTTTTAAACATTATTTTGTAACTTTAGTTTTAGTAATTAGAATTCAGTGTTATAAAATTAAACAAATCATTTAAATCAGATTCAAAACTGACATTTTTTTTATTGAATTCTCAGGATCAGTGATGGCAACGAGTATCTGTTCCAGGCCAAAGACGACGTGAGTTCATTTCAATCATTAAATTGTTATTCATCAATTTTAACATAAACTTAATTTTTAAAAATACAGCAAAGGTAGTAAGATTGAATGACCTGAACTAGATATCATTTTTAAAAATTAAACCATGTATTAATATGTAATCTTCTCCTGCTGCCTCCTTTCCTTCTCCTCTATCTTCCACTCTTTTTCTCCTCACCCAGGAGGACATGAACTCCTGGATTTCTGTCATCTCTGCTGCCGTAGCAACTGAAAAGTCCGAGGCCGCACCGTTCAGTCAGAGCATGGCTGCGTCTGCACGTGCTCAGACGCTGCCGACCTCCGTCTCTGTCACCTCTGCGACGTCAGAGTCCAGTCCAGGAAAGAAAGAAAAAGAAAAAGAGAAAAGATTCAGTTTGTTCAAGAAGAAGTAAAAAAAAACACTCACTTGTATCTCCTCCTGTCTTTTCTCCTCTCCTTCCCTGTTATTCACTCCTCCTTTTGTTTTTACTGCTTCTCTTCTCCTCCCTTCCTTTTGTATCTTTCTTCTTCCTTGCCTCTCTTCATATTCCTTCCATCATTCCCGTCTTTCTTCTTGAGTTTCCCTTTGTCTCTCCATCCATAGTTCTTCTTCCCTCATCCCTCCTTTCTTCCTTTCATTCCTTCTTTATTTTTGTCCTTCTCTCCTCCTGCTCCTGTCTGAGCTCCTTTTCCAAAATTGATTTAAAAAATGACTTTTCCTTCCAACCCTACCTGAGCCTCCTCCTCTTTACCTTCATCTTCATCTTCTCTGCCCCCTCTTTTCTCCTCTTCTCCTCTCTCTCCACTTGGTGCCTGCAGCGTCGTCATAGATTAAGCTTCCCCACCTCTCAATTTTTTCTCAATTAAAGAAGAACAGAAGGAAGCATAAACTCAAAACAGTGCTTTTGAAGGAAAAGAAATAATAAATAAATAAATAATCAAAGCTTCAGGCAGCTGCTGACATACAAACAACAAGATGGTGTAGACCACTTTACTTAACATCACACTATTGTTATTAATATATTGTTATTATTAATGTTATTATTAATCTCTCCATGTCTTTTATGTTCCATTCACTTCAGTTTTCATAACCTGACTTTATGTTTTCTGACTTTTTTCTCAACGCTGCTTCCTGCTGGTTGTCTTTTCATTCCTTTTTGTAGTTCAGTTGGTGTTTGGCTCCGCCTTCAGTTTTTTGCGAGGCCTTGTCTTTGCAAGATGACGTGTATCCCTCTGTGCTGGGGAAAAATTTGTGACCGGGACGGAGCCTCGATCCCAAATACTCCACAGCTATGAAAGCTACACCGGGTGCTCTGAACAGGAAATTAAAAAAAAAAAACAAATGAGTGAAAGCTGTCATCTTAAAACCAAATAACCTGTTGAATTAAGACTGGCTTAATCTTGGGTTAAACTCTCTGGATAATCTGGGATTAACTGGGAGCGCGGCTTCGCCCTTGTCCTCAAGTATGTGTATAACTTGTGTATAACAAACTGTTTAAATGAACATGTGTTTAATTTCAGCTGTTGTTGCCATAAATGTAAGCTAACAACCTAATAAGCTTCTTTAAAGTCAATATTTGTTAAACGAAAAAAAAAGTAACTTCAGTTCCCATCTGAAAGTGAGCGTGGCCTTGTGGTCATGTTTTCTTTCCTACTCGTTTATGATACGTCTTTCATTTTCAGTTTTGTTGTTCTGTTTTATGAGAAACAGGTTTATTTAGTTCCAGGACATATAAGTGAAATGCTGTTCTTTAATTACAAAAAAAGATAAATGTTGCAAATACCTTGTCAGCTTGAGCTCCTCCCACTCCCTGTTTTACCTAAGTTTTTCCGATTTTTCACATCAGCGGCCTAACAATGAAATGTGACAAAAGTCACTACATTTGTTCAAAGGTTCTTCAATGACATCATTTAAAGAATAACTTCAAAAACATTGACAGTATTAAACCAGTGGGATGTAAGTTAATATTAACAACAAACAAAGACTGTGTTTAATATGTCAACTTCATCAGTTCAGATACAAGACAATCGATAAAAGAACAGGTCAAACGCACGTATTCTTGGGTCACTGTAATGTGAGCGCCCTCCTGCGGCGGAAGGCGCTCAGACACAAAAGACTGTCTATAAATGTAATCTATTCCCTGAGTGAACAGGAAAGCAGGCCTACACCTGGGTCCACAGAGAGAATCAGTGATGTTGGTCTCAGTGACACAGGAGCCCGTGGTCTACCTCTGCCTTCTGTGGTTACTTTTTTAACCAACGCTACATCTAAACAAAAGATTTAAAACTCTGTTGTTTAGAAAAAAAAGGGCATATTCAATATCAGCAGTGGATCAACGACGCCTGTGTGCTGGGATATTAATATTAACTGATTATAGTGTACTGTAAGTGGAGAGACTGGCTTACAAAGCTTGTGAGTCTCAGCCTGGTTCGAACAGCAGATGGCGCTCACGGTACTGACCTGAGCTTCAAATGGTGCCGTTACTGGACCTTTGTGACTATTTTAGTCACCAGATGGTGGCGTTAATAAGTCATTGAGTCAGTGGCTGGAGCTCCAAGCTTCATGTTGATGATGTAATCGTCACGCCAGGTCAAAATGTCACTGTAACCATGGTAACAATAAATTCAGGAGATGCCACAGTGGGGCGGGGTTTGTGGGTGGAGTCAGATCTGCATCATCGTTATCTGTTAGACAAAAATTAAAAATATAACAATAAAACGCTTTTAAAGGAAAATGGGTCGTTATTTTTTAATTATTTTTAATTAAACTTATTTTTTATCTTACAAATAGTGTTTAAACAGGTCTGTTATTGAAATGAAAAACAATTTTGCTTCTTAATTTGAAATTCAAAGATAGGTTTGTGACTAGAGTGACCACCTGTCCCACTTTACGTTGTACTGCACAGCAACTTTAGCCTTTGTCCCGCGTCACTCGACTCATTCGACATTACTTAACTGAAAATAAACGATTTTATGTACCTGTATGTCTATGGGCACGACTATCAGTGCAGTCCATAGCAAAGACTGTGTGGATAAGGTGGTACCTGACAGACTGAGTGGTCTGTCAATCAAATTGCTGACTTGCAGCAATCACACACACCTTAGCGTCTGAAACTGTAGAGCGCGCAGTTGTTTTGATGCTGTGAAGGTTTTCTGTTAACTTATACCCAATAAAGATAAAGGCATTATAAGAGCTAGCTTATGTTTCATTTATTCAAATGAAAAAGGGGCCCACTCCGGTCCTGCATGTATATATACATATATATATACAGTATATGTAGCTGAAATGACTATTAACTAAAAAACTATTTAAAATTATCTTGTGTTTAAATGATTATGTTTTGTAGATGTTCACCAATGATCTTTTCTGTTACAGTCGTCAAAGCACTATCTTTCTCTTAAAGAAAAAGTTCTAATAGACTAAACTCAAAAAAAAAAAGAATGTGAATGTCAGCGGTCAACTGTAGGGGGCGCGCTGATACTGGAACGTTTGTATCACGGAAATAGAAATACGCTGTACAGTCTTTATTTCCGGTTGTGGATCCGACGCATGAAACACTAGTGTTAGCGGTGGGCACGATGGCTACGGTGGCTACATGTGATTGATTTAAAAGGTGGGGTTTTGAAAACAATTGTCGATTGTATTTTTTTGAAATGGTAGTCGTTCGGTCGAGATCATTTGTGCAATGTACGCTAGCATATGTGTTTGAGGCCTGAAGTATTAGGCTTGTGGACACAGCAGCTTGGACCCTGACAGCAAGAGGTAAATGAGACCAACACAGCTTTTGATTGTTCCAGAAATAGTTACATCGAGGGCAACTGGACAAAGTAGGTTTTATTGAAGACGTTTCACTTCTCCTGACCCTCTTGGGATTTTGGGATTAAATGAGAACCTACACAGACAGCTTTTGATTGTGCCTTGTTTGGTATTGTCTTAACAGATGTAATGGAGGAGAAGACTTGAGAACACAGCAGCTTGGACTCTGCCAGGAAGAGTGAAGGAGCAACTTTATTTGAAGCAGATCACTTGTTTGCTGGACTTGTGAGTATTTTACTGAAACTTTTTGGCAACAGGGTCACTTTTTTTGCAACAGATGTGTAGTGTAGTGTAGCGCAAACCAATAGTTTGCGGAGGGAAGCCATGATTTCATTAAAGCCTTTTAATATTTATCTTCAACAATGTCTCCCCACACAGGTGGCCAACGTGTGGTACTTGGTACCTACAACGGACACACGGGAGCTGTGCGGTGCGTCGGCTGTGACTGTATCTTTTGATGTTATTTAGCTCGGTATTCTGCTGTGTCTTCACCGGGGATGTCACAAGTTGATATCACTAATAATAGTGATGTGAGGACCCTAACATTTCCTGAGTAACGTCAGAAAATATAACCACAGTGAAGGTGAACTCAAACAATAAACGCAATAAACAAGGGAAGACCGGCGTACTGCAACAATGTTGACATTGTAGGTTATTAAAGGTTGTAGGTCATTAAAGGTTATTTTATCATAAAGTAATGGCACAGTGTTGTGAAACCAATAAAAATATAATAATTGTAATATTGTGATGAATTGTCTGACAGTTACTGTACAAAGTAAATGTGCAGTCATGCCACAGTTGACAATTACTGCCACGATACATGTTGGGTTCCCTAACTGGCTCTTCTCAGGGGACACCAAAAATGACTTGACAGGATCAGCCGACAAAAGCTGTTGACTGTGGGACTGCGAGACCGATGGGTAAAACGAAAATGCATGTGATAGATAGAAGTTTCTGAATCCCTCGGGAGTTCCAGCAGCAGTACACCACCAAAACAATAAAAAAAAAAAGGTGCAAATACAAACATGAGTAGCAGCACAGAAATCTGCACACAACCTCCAAAAACCTGCAAAAAATATTTTATCTGAATATTTCAAAAATCCATGTTTTTTTTTCCATATTTTTATGGAAAACATCCATAAAAATAAAAAGTCCCCGAATTGCCTTTAAATCCAGGTTTATGCCCTAAAACATGCTGCCAAGTAAATATTTTGTGTTTATAAGTCCAAAAAGTATTTTATATGAATATTTCAAAAATCACCCATCATCACCGCCTTACCATCGTGAAAAAGTGCAAAAAGTGATTGATAGATAGATATATAGAAGTTTCTGAATCCCTCAGGAGTTTCTGCAGCAGTACAGCACCAAAACAACAATAAAAAATAGGTACAAATACAAACATCAGTAGCAGCACACTGTGTACTGCAACAATGTTATGACAATAAAGGCTATTTTATCATGCAATGGCACAGTGTTGTGAAGAATGAATATGGGAAATCTGCACAGTGGATGTTAGTAGAAGAAGAAAAGTAGCTAATTATTGGTATGATGTGTATGTATAGTAAAAAATATTGTGATTAATTGTCTGACATTTACTGTACCAAGTAAATGTGTAGTCATGCCACAGTTGACAATTGGATGTTATGTGAACAAGTATGTAAAATAAATATATATGAAATATAAGCACAGTGTAAATAGTTGAGTAGTGAATTAATTAAATTAAATAAACAGTTAGCTATATAGGTAGTTCCAACAGACATATTAGTGTAGAGTGTTTTATATTTTGGTGTTTTAATTTTTGCTCTGTGTCCTTTCTTTAGTGTCTGACGTCAGAACACGTGGGTTTGATTTCAGCGGCGGCAACATCATGTTTTCCACAGACAAGCAGATGGGCTCTCAGTGTTTCATGAACTTGTTCAACCTGAGGGATCCACAGATTGGTAGGTAATCGTCACGTGCAACATAAACAAATTAATACCGTAAAAGAAACAAGATTCCTGATTACTGCTAAGGAAATAATGAATCGCAGACAGCATCTTTAAATGCAGGTTTATGTCCTAAAACATGCTGCCAAGTGGATATTTTGTGTTTAAAAGCCCAAAAAGTATTTTATATGAATATTTCAAAAATCACCCAAAACATGCCTTACTATAGCCTTACCATCGTGAAAAAATCCATAAAAATAAAAAGTGATTGATAGATAGATATATAGAAGTTTCTGAATCCCTCAGGAGTTTCTGCAGCAGTACAGCACCAAAACAACAATAAAAAATAGGTACAAATACAAACATCAGTAGCAGCACACTGTGAATGAATATGGGAAATCTGCACAGTGGATGTTAGTAGAAGAAGAAAAGTAGCTAATTATTGGTATGATGTGTATGTATAGTAAAGTATACCACATTATACCTATGAGATGTGTGTATATGTAAGAACTAGTATAATTGTAAGGATGTTATGTGAACAAGTATATAAAATAAATATATATGAAATATAAGCACAGTGTAAATAGTTGAGTAGTGAAATAATGAAATTAAATAAACAGTTAGCTATATAGGCAGTTCCAACAGACATATTAGTGTAGAGTGTTTTATATTTTGGTGTTTTAATTTTTGCTCTGTGTCCTTTCTTTAGTGTCTGACGTCAGAACACGTAGGTTTGATTTCAGCGGCGGCAACATCATGTTTTCCACAGACAAGCAGATGGGCTCTCAGTGTTTCATGAACTTGTTCAACCTGAGGGATCCACAGATTGGTAGGTAATCGTCACGTGCAACATAAACAAATTAATACCGTAAAAGAAACAAGATTCCTGATTACTGCTAAGGAAATAATGAATCGCAGACAGCATCTTTAAATGCAGGTTTATGTCCTAAAACATG